GTTTGTTTGTTTTAGAGCAAAGCTACATTGGGCTGTCTACTTTGTCAACCGAGGGGGAATCGAGCCCCGGAATTTAGCGTTGTAAGTCAGTAGAGTTAAGGCTGTCCCACCAGGGGGGAAGAGGACAAAAATCAAGCTCGAACAAGGTTTAAAACTTGATGTCAACTCAAAACTGGACAATTATACGAAACGTAGGTCAACTTAGTAGCAACAGGTCATATTAAAGACACACTTAATGTTGCTGAGACAAATCTGTATAATAGAGTTTCGTCCACTTGTAGCTATACAATAGGCGAATCGTGGGCCACAACAGCCCACCAAAACTGTAATTTCTGGCCCACAGCATTATTTAATTAAAAGTAGTTTGTTAACAGTTCAGTGCGAGGAATTTGCTCGTATTTAACTACTAAACTATCAAAGTGCTGAAAGGGTGAGCATGTTTGGTGTGATGGGGGATTCGAACCCGCGACCCGCAGATTGGGAGTCGAGCGCCCTAACCACCTGGCCATGCCGGTCCTTTGGTATTAAAGTGACTTACTCCGGTTTCGGCTTGATGACGAGAATCAATCCTATTGGTTGCTGTCACCAGAAAACTGTAAATGGGATTTTCTTCAGCCTTCAACTTTGCTGTGGCTAGGATTTTGCCCTGTAGAATAAGTCACGAAAAACGTTAGAAGTAGGCATGATAAGAGCTGAGACAAGAAATGATAATGAATATTTCTTCAATCTAAACTATTTCCAAAAATAAACAACCACCAATATTTTAAACGTTTCCTAACAGCGATAAAAAAAACATATCTTATTGTTTCTCTATCAAACAGCTAAAGGATTGCAAACTAAGCCTAAATTCAAGAAACTAAGCCTAAATTCAATGGCTTTATCGGGCAGCTCGTTTTTCGACAATAAGAAATCACCCTAGCGATACGGAGCTTAATATACTCCATTATAATCATGTAACTATATTTGTTTGTATGTGTGTTTAATGTTAAAAGATTATGTATGATAGTTTATATTTATTTTTATAAAATCAAAAGGGCGGCGTGTTTGTAGTGGTCATCCTTCTTAACGTAAGTATAGTATTTCTTTAGAAGAATTAAGTATGTACCTTTGAAATATTTTATCTGCATAGAACCTAGTTTTAATTTCCAAATATTTTGTATTTATTCAGTATTCAAGTAGAAGTACCTATAACGATCTCGACTTCAAATACAAAGTATGGTTAATCATATTATCAGCTCTAGTAATGAGTGGTTGTTGACCAGATGTTTTCCACTCAATGCTTCTACTGTATCAGATTATTGTTGTAGTTGACTATAGATAAAGTATTGTGAAAAACAATTAGTCAACTACAACAATAACCTGCTTAGATATAGATAAAGTATTGTGAAAAACAATTAGTCAACTACAACAATAACCTGCTTAGATCAACTACAACAATAAATAATTAGTCAAATAATTAGTCAACTACAACAATAACCTGCTTAGATATAGATAAAGTATTGAGAAAAACAATTAGTCAACTACAACAATAAATAATTAGTCAAATATAGATAAAGTATTGTGAAAAACAATTAGTCAACTACAACAATAACCTGCTTAGATATAGATAAAGTATTGTGAAAAACAATTGTTTTTACTCAATGCTTTGAGCAGCACAGTGTTGCAGAAGTGCTCTGGACAAAACTTAAATAAAAGGTTTACCGTTTCATGATCAATAATGAATTCTTTTACACTTGCTCCGCTAGATGCAGTGATATTGTACCAAACTGGATTCCCATTGGGTGTAGCGGCCTGGATCTGCAAGACCGTCTCCCCGGGTTCTACGGTGTGATCAATTTCCATAGAATATTGGACGGAGGTGAACACTGGCGTGGGGTCATCTATACTTTCCTCGTAAACTTCAATGACCATCTGCGCGGAGCTGAAAAAAGAAAACAAATATGAACACGAAACTTTATTTGCTCGTTTTAGAGCGAAACCACAGTGGGCTATCGGCTGTGTTTGCTGAGGTGGGGATCGAACCCCGGACTTTAGTGTTGAAAGTACCTAGACTTGCCGCTATTCCACCGGAGGACGCGATGCTTTTATATATATATATATATATATATAT